GGTCCCTTGGGCCAGTACGCCAAACCCTTGGTTAACGATCTGGGGGTAAAAGTGGATTAAAGTTTGACAGCCAGATTAAAGCTGTGGTAAAATCGAGCTTCTTCCAGTTAAGGCAGCTGGCAAAAATAAAACCCTTTCTGCATAGACAGCACTTTGAAACAGTAATCCACTCCTTTGTAACCACCCGGCTTGATTACTGTAATGCTCTTTACATGGGGGTTAGTGGGTCCTCCATTGCACATCTGCAACTAGTACAGAATGCAGCTGCACGTCTTGTAACCGGCACAAGGAAGTTCGAGCACATTACATCGATCTTAGTTTCACTTCACTGGCTACCCATTTTAGAATTCATTTTAAAATTCTTTTATTTGCTTTTAAAGCCTTAAATGGTCTTGCCCCAATGTACCTCTCTGAGCTTCTGCACCCCTATGCACCTAGCCGATCTCTCAGGTCAGCTGACCAGTTGCTCCTGAGGGTTCCCAAAACCAGGCTGAAACTCAGAGGGGACCGAGCATTTTCTGTTGCCGCCCCGAAACTGTGGAACGAACTGCCACTGCACATTAGGCAGGCCTCTTCATTGTCCAATTTTAAATCTCTTCTTAAAACGCACCTCTTTTCTTTGGCTTTTAACACCGCTTAGGTTGTTGACTTTATGTGCACAGATAATTTTAGCCATTTTGTACTATGTTTTATTGTATTTTTAATGATTCTGTCTTTCACTATGTCTATTTAAATGTACAGCACTTTGGGAACCTTTGTGTTTATTTAAATTGTGCTTTATAAATAAAATGGATTGGATTGGATTGGTCAGGCAGCTAGAGGGGGTGCCCCTGTTGCTTTCTTTTACAGCCCGTGTGTTAACCACCCTCTGGTGGAGGCGAAGGACAAAACACATGGTTATTTCATTGGTGATGGGTTGCTGGTGAGGAAGTGGGCCCCTGGTGGTGAGTTTGGTGTGGTGTACCGGCCAAATTTCGTCAATTGGTTTTACAACTGTCCCATGACCAGTCAGGGCATATGGGGGTAAGGAAGACATATGATCGCATTTTGCATTACTTCTTTTGGCCTCGGCTAAAGAGAGATGTAGCGGAGTATGTCAGGACCTGCCACATGTGTCAAATAACTGGCAAGCCTAACCAGGTTATTAAGCCTGCCCCTCTGCATCCAATACCTGCCATTAGTGAGCCTTTTGAATACCTTATTGTGGATTATGTTGGACCTCTGCCTCCTTCCAAGTCAGGTGCAAAGTTTCTTCTAACTATACTGTGTCAAGCTACCACATATCCAGCTGCGTATCCCCTGCGCTCACTAACAACCAGGTCTGTGGTTAGGGCACTAACCCAGTTCCTTTCAATCTTTGGCATTCCCAGGGTTATTCAGATTGACCAGGGTTCGAACTTTTCTTCTCATATGTTTCGCTCAAGTGTTAAAACAACTTCGGGTGAAACACTCCGTCGTCAGCCTACCATGCACAAAGTCAGGGGGCTTTAGAACGTTTTCACCAGACGCTGAAGTCATTGCTGCGTGCGTTTTGCACAGAGATGGGCAAAGATTGGGAAGAGGGTTTGCCATGGTTGATACTGGCAGCCAGGGAGGCGACTCAGGAGAGCACAAGGTTTAGCCCTAACGACCTGGTGTTTGCTCATTCTGTACACAGTCCTCTGGCAGTGCTGAAGGATAATTTTAACAGCAGTGAGCCTCCAAAAAATCTACTAGATTTTGTAAATGGATTCAGGCATCGGTTGTATGTTGCAGGAAAGTTGACAAGGGAGATATAATATATATATAATAAGAATTTCAGGGCCACAGTCCTAAGACTACATTTCTAGGACCCTAGTTTTTCTCTACAGCGCAACGTCATGAATTGGTCAGGGATGGGGAACCCTAACACAGGTTTAACCCACATTACCGTGTTGGTCTGAATGGGGTAATAGACTCCTCAGCATGATCTTTGGAAGCCAGCTACAAAAAACTGCCTGTTTACTGACGGCAGTATTTTGTCTTCTCACAGATGTTTACTCTGGATGAAAATATCTTTTCCCCGGCCAAACCCAACGTGTAACTGCAATGGAGCCATAAATGTCACTACCCTGTTCCTAAATGCTCTAAAAACAGATAGAAATAGGCTTACCTACTGTTTCTTATCTGTCGAGGTGCAACCAGCTCAGTGCTAACGTTAGCTAACAGATGGAGCAGCATTGCCACATTTATTGTTAGGAGTAAGTTAGCTTTACCATTTAGCACGTTATTGTAAAATGTGTGTGTGTGTGTGTGTGTGTGTGTGTGTGTGTGTGTGTGTGTGTGACCCTCGAGCCTGCATGAAACAAATACATTTTAAACTGCATCCTCCATGTTTAGCTATTTTTTACACCAGACTGAGCCTCACTGACTGGATGTTGTGACCAGTGTTAGTAAATGAGGCAGTTTTCCGCCTCACTTGGCTACTTTTTATTTAATTGGGTTGGTTTAAATGGTTTTCCACCTACAAAAAATTTGGCTATATTCCAATAAATCCTCCTCTCATCGTACCCATATTATTGACACTGACAGAGTTCAGTCGGCTTGGGTCAGGTAAAGTCACAGTGTGTGCCTACTGCTTAAGATTTACTGTATATTTGTATATTTGTTATTTTTTAACAAACAACACTGATGTCCCAGACAGTGCAGACATATTAAGCTGCTGAACTTTTAAACTGATTCCTTACAGTAAAGTTCAAAATCTGAGCCAAATTAGAGCAAGTAAAAGGTAAATTACTCACTCTAGAAACAGTATATAATCTTTGGATTCCAGCCTTGGCAGTGCACTAGTGAATACTTGGAGGGAGAAAACACTTGAGATGAGGAAGGCCCTTTGGCTCAAGGGAAATAGCCCAGATCTGTCGGGTAATAACTCAGCTGCTGCAGCAGAGAACCTTACTGTTCTACATTCACAAGCAGAGTGACGACCAGACTCGGCTGAGCGAGGCCTCACTTGCTGCCTGGTAAACAGTCTGTCAACTTTAGTGTGTTTAGCTTTGAATCATCTCAGACTTTACATCGAATGTTGGCATCACCCTTAAAGGCAATGACATAAGTGCTTTTTTAGGGATAATGTACATGTATGTGTGTGAGAGGGAGTTTTAGGTGTTTATCATGTTATTGTAGACACCTGTTTTTAAACGTGTTAAATTAGGTCTAAAATAGTTTGAGCTCCAACTTAATTCAACTTCTTCCTAATAACATCCAGCTGTATCACATCAGCATCCATGGTTTGTACAGATTATATTCACTGAGCCTTTGGGTGAGCTACTGGTGCTGAGACGCCTGTTTGAGACCTCTGCTGTAGGCTTTTTATGTGCAGTGTTACATATTTGCATCCCTGGAACTGTCACAGAAGCAGTAGATCTTTAAGCATTAATCAGAAAAGCACAGTATGACAATCAAGTCAAGACACTATTTTTATTAAGACAGCCAAAACTAGATCAAAGAATGTGAATAGATGATTTAAAGTTCAGAATGTGGTGAACACAGTGATGTTGGATCTCTGTATCCTGCCTGATGGACAATGTGAACTATTGATATAACAGCGTGGGTAAGTTATAATCACTGATGAATATATCTAGGGTCTTCTGATTGTATCAAGGACTATTCAGGGCTTTTTGTTTGTTTGTTTGTTTTATGTAGTTTTTTATGTACAAATTGCAAATGTGGCTTTGGTCACTTGACATTCAGCATAATTATGACTGATGTTGCAGAGTCTGGTTTTGTGAGATTGTTACCAGACTGTCTTGTTTGTTTGTTTGTTTGTTTGTTTTTGTTTTCTCTTGTCTCTTAGCGTTCTGCATGTTTTAAAAAAAACAAAACAAACAGTTTGTAACCAATCGGTATGGTAGATGAATAAGTCTGTCAAAAATATCAATAAAAAAATAAATAAAATTAAGTTCAGACTGTTGCACCACTCTGATGTCATTTGTTTAAGTTGTATAGTCTTATAGTATGGAAGATTTAACATGCCTAAACCAAAAAAGCGGAATATAATAGGCTTTTAATGTATTAATTGAATAATGTCAAATTTCAAAATAATTGTTTTTTTGAATAAATCAATGATTTTGTTTTAAATTGTGACATTAATGAAACGCCATATTTAATCACAACACGGAAAACAAAATGAAAAGCTGTATTATATTTCAGTTCTGTCCAGCACAGTGCCACAGTGACACTGTGACAGTGTCCTTACAAAACATGATTTTGGCCTTTTGGCGGAGGCTGACAACTGTGAGGCTGTAATTCTAGTTATAAAATCCACATTAATTCATGAAACAATATAATACAATGATATAATGTATAATTCTTCATAATGTGTCCTGTAACTAGTTGAGTACAAAGTACAGCAGACCTATAAAGGGACTTATCTGTAATCTGCGACACACACACAAACAAACACACAAATTAAACAAAAAAAACAAACTTCCCTCAAACCAGCAAGGTCACAGTGAGATTTCATCACTGCGTTCTCTCCGAGCGAAGCTCAGCTGAGGTAAAACACATGATCTGCTTGAATTCATCGGACTATAATTGAAGCTTTAATTCATAGACATCAGGAATGCTAAATCTTGCCACTAACCATTCAATTAATCAAACTTTATCTGTGTAGCACTTCTCACACAGGTTTGTGCAGTTCAAAGGGCTTCACAAAATATTGTACTTTTTACTCAACTATAGTTACACTGTACAGGTTTGTACAGCGCGTGCCAAATTGCAAAAGAGTGCAGTATGTCTTCAAATATTTACCGTATCTTACAAAGGGTTCATGATAGTCACCTGGGAGTGTATTGTCAAGTTAAAATGTGGGGACAGAGGCCACTGTGTCTGTGGCTGTGGCCTTGGTTGATAGTTGGTCAATACGAGATTTTCCTGGGAGACTTTTCTTTAGTTTAGTCCTAACCACTGGAAGCCTGTACAGGATTTCACAATTCAAATTTTAGCGAGTAATACTATTTAGCATAACAAGGCGTCAGTTACCACTCCTTTTTTTTTTTTTTGTTGATTTTGTTTTTTATTCCAGCTCCAGATGAACTGGTCACAGTGCCATGCTGTAGCCAGAGAGGAGATGAAGACGGATCCCTGATCATGATGGTCAAAGCTTGTAGAAGAAGGGAGGTCAATCTTTGCCTTCCGAAGTACGGTGCCATCTTCCTGTTACTGGCTGTGTTTGTCTTAACCTTTATACTACGTAACATGGATTTACAGGAGGTGAGATCTTGCTTCTGACTTGAATTTCCTGTTTGAAATATTCAGTATTAGTTAGTTGTTTTTTTTTTGCTCTGGATAACAGGAATGTTCTCTATAAATGTTTGTAAATGAATGTAGTTTAGGTTAAATTATATTTTTCTTCACAATCCTGTGATTGACTGACAGCAACACGCCCTGTAATGAAAAGATATATCTGGCATTATTCTATACTTTTGTTATTGTCTTATATAAAAGAAGACATAAAGCTTTACAAACAGATCACTGTAAAGTATAAAAAAAGTGTTGAGAAAACTGATCTTTGATAAGGACTCAGAACATTAGACATTAAACTCCCTGAAAATCAATTTTTTCTGTCAACTTGTTTCTGTGAGTTACAGGATCCTACATGAAGGCACTGTTTTCTATCATTTCTATATATTCTAAGTTTCCTGATATTAAAGTTAATCTGTGGCATAGCAATGGCATCAAAACATATAGTTTCCTCTCTGAACTGATTTCCTGTCCATTTATTTCCACTTTGTCTTCCGTCGGCAAAAAATTAAAATTCTGTCACTTATAAATCTACATGTTTCACAGCTTGTTGAGTGACTCTGTGTGCATGGGTGTGTGTGTAGGTGTATATCAGTCTGTAAAAGCATCTGCAGACTTGTAATGTACAAATGTAGACAGCAATATACAAAAAAAACATTAAGTGATTGGTGCAGTACAAATAAATTTGATTTATTGAAATTGAGTATAAGGATATTATGACTGTAAAGATTCAGTAGAGGAAATCAGTGAAGGATAATGGCTTATACTTGTTTTCACCTCACCAGTGGAGTCTGGGAAAAGATAAAAGTCCCTGCAGGCTTAGTCTTTCAACCATAAAAATCTTCCTCTTTCATGTCAACAGAAATTGTGTGTTGTGTGGCAGGAAACATCTTCTGTTTCATTTAGTTGATCCGTCTTTTTATGCATTTATTTGATGAATCTTTATCACCATCTCACTTTCAGCATAAAGTGAACTCCACAGTGATACTTGCGAGAGTTTCCACTGACCAATACATGCATCACGGCTTCTGCACCTTCCGACCACTGTCCAATGAGGACGCTCTGGAAGAAGACCTCATACTAGACTCCATTGCTTGGCCTGAAGCTCCAGCTCTGGTTTCTCTGGAGCAGACCAGCGATCCTTCCCACAGCACCTTCACAATTCCCCCAAAGAAGGGAGGAGGACAGTGGCATGTAGGAGATCAGCTGGAGGTTATGATCCAAATGTATGACTTCCAGGGCCAACCCAAGAAGTCTGGAGGAGACTTCTTAGTCGCCCGTCTGCACGACCAGGCTCTAGGTGCAGGTGTGGCTGGGCAAGTGGTGGATCATCTCAATGGCTACTATTCTGCTGTGTTCACTTTACTCTGGGAGGGAAGCGCGGAGGTTGAGGTGATGCTAAAAGCTATCATGTTCAATGTGGTTGTAAGTCTATCTTCAAATTGACCGTTAGCTAAACCCCATGCTCCTTAGATACTGTTGCTATGTCTGTCAACATTCCCTTCTCACTAGGCACACACAGCTTACAAATTCAACAGTGGAAGATTTACCACTGAAATTCTTGGTTAACCCATTTTCAAAACAATGCGGCCTTGCAGGCGTCTCATTTCTTGCCATATTTTGTCTACCTACTTGTCGTTAGCAACTGTAGCTAACTAGCTGATTCAGCTAAGCCTGAGTTGGTTGAAAACTGACAATTGTAATGTTTCAAGCTGATTCACTATAAAACAAGAAACCTGGAAAGTGAGTCTTAAATACACTTGATGGCCACATACAGTACACATACAGCCTACATGATATCAAGCTAAAAGACTGAGGCTAAAGCTTCATATCCCAGGCAAAATGTTGGCATCCTGACTAATGACCCACGTAGAAGACCTGTCCATGTTCTGCCATGTAGAGCTAGTTAGACATATTGGTACCACTTTACAATGAGACTACCCTTATAAAAGGATTTATAAATGGTTTATAATTAGGTTATTAATTTGGTTGTTAACACTTTATAAATCATAAATAAACCATTATAAACACAGTTTTCATATATTAATGCAGGTTCACTATTTAGCAAGATCAAGTTGATGCTTACAACTCATTAATCAGACTAATGAGTTACTGCCATTTATAACTGGTAAAAGGAGCCTCATTGTAACTTATTCATAAATGATGTGTTTTACACTTTACAGTAAGGCTTCCATTTATCAGTTATAAATGTTTGTAACTACCTGCAATGCTAAATTCCTAAAGAAGATACCAACCAGGAAAAAAGTATCTCCATTTTAACAGCCATTGTGCAGTACAATCTGATAGCATGAGTCATAATATATATAAATCATAATTTATACAAATATGTGATGAAGCAGCAGGTACAAATGCTGGATGATAGAGAAAACAAAGAAAGACATTAGTTAGATTTAAAATCCATATATAAATATAACCAGTCTGAGTCTTCACTTGTTTGTTCATAAAACTGCTTCAAATGCTCAAACAAACTGGCTTCAGCAGTAGCAGATGTGTCTGTACCGTCTGTACCGCTAACACGAGCCAAGCTGAGCCGTGTCTATGGAGATGTCATGCGGCGTGCCATAAAACTGTTGTAAAACATGAGCGGTGTTCACTCTGGCTCACGTTCACGTTCAATTGTAAACTGATTCATTCAGTTCAGCGTTCAGTGAACACGTTCATGCACAACACTAGTTATAGTGCAATGCATGTTGCCATACTTGTCAATGTGACACTGCACTCAAAATAGCAGTGTGTGTATGGAAGTATGTAAATTGAGACAGTCAACACAAAATCCTGTTGCTGTCAGACAATACCGACCGATAACAGCCGGAATCTGCCCAAATGTGAAAGTATATATGGGCCAGGGTCGGGCCTATGTTGGGCAAGAAGTTTCATTTTACTATCTTTTGGTTTAGTGTTTTTTATTTTTGCAAGGGATTTAGCTAGCAGTCATTTCTCTAGACATAATTGTGTGCATTTTTATTTATATTCCCTTGTACTACTTTACTTTTCAGAAGCAAAAGAATGTGCTGTTGGACTGTTTCTCTCTCCTATCAGGTGACGCTGGTTCACCCTAGTGAGGCCATCACAGTGCTGCAAAGACTGAACAGCGAACAGCCAGACAGGATTTACTTCCAAAGCGTCTTCCACTCAGGCTCGGTGTCTGAGACTGCCACCTGTAACGTATGCCTGCATCCAACCCATAAGCCGTTATGCAACTACACTGACCTCCATACAGGTGAGCCGTGGTTCTGCTACAAGCCAAAGACGCTGAGCTGTGATGCCAGGATCAACCACTCTAGAGGAGGATTTACAAAAAACCTCAAGGACAAGGAGGAGAAGCTCTTTCAAAAGTGAGGTAGTGGAGAGACTGGTAGTGAGGATGGGCTTTTTGTGCAACTTCTAATAAATACATATGTAGAGTGTTATCTACATGACATGGAGTGACATTAGCAAGCTTCCTGGTAAATGTAAGTCCAGTATTGAAATTCCTTTTAGCTGTGGTTTGGACTCCACCAACTCCCTAGGGAAATATCTTAGTGAGTGGAGTGGAGCATTTTAGCATCTATCCACTCGATAGATGCTAAAATGCTTTGTAGTGCAGAGGAGAACTGCAAATTCTCTGTGGGTTTGCAAGCAAAGCCTGTCACATTATAAACAACCATTGGACCCATTGTTTATGTGAAATTTTTGAGTAGTGCAGCTTTAACTCACAAAATGGATTTATAGGCTACGTTTTTTTTTTTTAAAGCAGTCCCAAATTAGTGATATGCTGTCCTGTTTTAACCTCATTAAATTATAAAAATTCTTGTCCTCATTTGTTGTATGTATGTATATGTTGTTGATACTGTAGTATGTGTAACAGATATTTCATTACGTGTTTTCCATCAGTAATGTCAACATGAAAGTCTCCATTCAAGCCTCACAATCTGCCAATGTCACCGTATGGTCCAACAAGACAGGTAAAGCATTATTTTTACAACCGTAACCACTGCTTATAACTACAATAATTCAAAATTGAATAAGCTACAGATTGTTAGAAGTAAAACAGCAAGAAAATTTATGCTCACAACACTCAAGCTGGCCTTGATACATCTCTCTACCTATGTAAAACAGATTAAAAGGCTAAAAGTAAAAAGTGGCCTCAACTTTAACCATTACATTACAGTTACACTACCATTACAACAACTGAACAACTGCCACTTTTCTGCTTTGGGAAAGTGGGTAAGTGATGACCATTTTTACACTGGCTGTAGCTGCTATTTTTTAGCTGCCAGCAGGTAGCCACATTTGTCAGTTAAAACAGATACACTCAGGTTCTTGTTGGCATTAAAAGTTTTCCTACAACTGAGGTAGACGAGGTTGGTATATGTAAAATCCAAATAGCTTCTGATCACATGAGGAAGCTACAAAATCTTATAGCCACCATTTAGGCCTGTAAATTGTTGTTACTGTATTTGATCCTCAAAACATTTTGGGAAGACATTTGCTTTTAAGGATAATGCTAACAATCTTTAGATTTTAATAATTATCAGCAAATCCCATTGAAAACCAACAATGAATTGATCCGTCTAACAAGTATTGACTGTGAATCCAAAATCTGTGCATTAATCCACTGCTGAAAACAGTCCCCAACAAATTAACAACATGCCCTCATTTGAATGAGGTTAAAAGAACTACTGTGCCCATTTGTTTTAGGAAATTACTGAGGCTTTTCTCAAAATAAAACTATGTATTTGCAACGCATTTATAAACATTTATGTCCTCAGGAGTAACAAATTGACGTGGGGCTACGAGGTTCAGGAGAGACAGTGGTATTGGTTTCGTCATGCATTTGTTGCCAATAAGAAATGATACAATAACATCTCCTTATCTCATGTCAACCAGAAGGGAAGAACAGTAGTGTGAAGTATGGACATTCTGGCTATTACTACCAAGGAGAGTGGCGAGCACTTGGTGGACCCACAGTTCGCCAATTCAACACCTCCTCTGCCATCAGTCAGTGTCTGAAAGGCAAAGCGGTCCACCTGTACGGGGACTCCACCATCAGGCAGTGGTTTGAACACCTCAACGAAGCGCTACCAGGTAGCTGATCAACAGGGATTTCTGGCATTCATTTTATTTTATTCTTACTGAGGTTTAATTTGTTCCCTATGTAATACATTTAGATCTCAAAGAGTTCAAACTACACAACCTGAAGCAAGCTGGACCTTTCATGGCCTTTAACTATGCAAAAAACATCATGGTGACGTACCGCTGCCATGGTCCTCCTATACGTTTCGGCACTGTTCCAACCAGCCAGCTCCGTTACATCGCCAATGAACTAGATGGCTTAACCGGAGGCAGCAACACCATCGTGGTTCTTGGCATCTGGTCTCACTTTAGCACTTTCCCCATCGAGGTGTACATCCGGAGGATGCAGAGCATCCGCAGGGCAGTGCTGCGGCTGTTGGACAGGGCTCCAGAAACGCTGGTCATCATCCGGACTGCAAACCCGAAAGCGTTGACACTTTATGAGACGCTGACCAACAGCGACTGGTACTCGCTGCAGCGCGACAAGGTGCTCAGGGCTGTGTTCAAAGGATTGAATGTTCGTCTGGTGGATGCTTGGGAGATGGGCCTGGCCCACCACCTGCCGCACAGCCTCCACCCACAACCTCCCATTATAAGGAATATGATTGATGTTCTCTTGTCCTACGTATGTCCTCAAAATGATGGATAGATGTGTTTGTTGGGAAGGAAGATTCAAATGCACACTTGATCATCATTCTGCTGGCCTTGGCCGAGTAAGGTGCAGGAGGTCTCCAGGTGCGCCAGTGAAGGCCAGAGGCCCAACCGATGTCACCAGCAGGATGCCATCTGATGAGGCACAGTCATCTTCAGCAATGTCACCAAAGATGCACGGGGAGCAGCCGTCCTTGTCACGATCAACGGTGCTGAAGCTGTAAGCCATTCTGGTCGATGCCTGGATAGGTACCACGGATGCCGTCACCTTTAAACAAAATTTGGAACAATTTGGTCTGGAGTTACAAGATGACGAAACAAAGAATTTCCCAATAAACAAAAGTACTTAGTATTGTCAGTTCAGCAAAGTTGTGTTCATCAATAAACTTTCAGCTTCTCATTTTTAGGATGAAAATTATGTCATTTCTTCTTTCATTTGAAAGCAGCTGTGTGAAGCATTTTATCACTACAAACTGTCAGTCTCCAGCTGCTCTCCACTCACTGTGTATCAGAGTTGGATTTGAAGCTGCTGGATTGCTTTACACCACAAAACAGAAAGAGGGCGCTGTTGTTTCAGAAAACAGCTGAAGCCGGCAGAGTTGGTGCTGACCTGGGAAAATCACTTCTAATGTGCATCATTGACTTGTAAGTTTAATTTACACTCACTCAGAACATTGAAAAGAGCACACAAAAATTATGAATAAAATTCAAATAAATAGAATATTTGTGTTTGTATAAAAAAGGGACAGTGAGGAAAGCTAAAGAGCAGCAGTTAAAACGGCTGCAGTACCTGTGTTTCCACTGTATTTGCCCACATGCAGTTTGAAAGCTGTGTCCTCATCTCCCAGTCTAAAGTCGTGGTACTCAGCGAAAGCAGTGCCACCTTCATGGTCCCACAAGTCCACCCTAAGGGTCCACTTCTTGGTCTTGTCCTTGGTCACAGAGGAAACCTTCTCCAGACCGAGCCAGTGGTCCTCTGAGGGAATCAGCAGAGCATTGCCATGACATGTATATGCACCAATTTCCACAAACAAACTATGTACCAAAGAGTTTGGCCCTTTACAAAACAACAGTTATCTGACTAAACTGACACCTGCTTCAACCTGGGAGATTCAGGAAATCACTAACCAAAGTAGAATCAGATGAGGCAGACTGAGAGAAGGGAATATTGCCATAAAACTTCCACACTGAAGCCCAGTTGGTAATAAGACCGTTTCTGGAAATACTATGAGTTTTTATTCACAAGGCTGTGAAGAAGTCTCCAATCAGTAGTCACATGATCACACCTGAGGCAGGGAGGGAGGATAGATGAACCACTCCTGCCTGGAAAGGAACCGCCCTCCTCAGGTGAACCACTTAACCAATATGAGAGGTCATATACACCTCTTTCCTTCCTTTTTCTTTTTTTTTATTTCTTTATTAACCTCAGTTATGGTGGGTGTACGTCCTGGCATAAACCACACACACGTCAAAAAGAAATTTGAAAAGAAATGAAATAAAAAAGCTCAGCATTCATGAACCTTGGATTCCAGCTTCATCTATGTGTCTCAAACACACTCAGCCGACCCCATTAGCCGCTAGACTTGAAGCAGCTAACTGTCTACCTCTGAGAGATAACCTGTGCTTTGGGTTCAGTGAAATGTGAGCCGTTATCTGCTGGTGTTAGAGGCTAAAAGGAGAGTTACATGTGTAACTATGGTTCTATGAGTTCTGGATGACTGTCAGATGTTTAGGCATTAAAACTGTTGGAATAGGAGTCAACTGTTTGATGGAGCTCTCAGGAGAAACTTGGCAACTTGTAAAGCTGGAAAATGTTAAGTGACCATATATTTATAAGATCTTTGTTGATCAGTGACTGATCAATATTTTCATTGAACAAGGACCATGTAAGGCCACTGCAGGATGTAAATAATGGCTGCCAGGCACATTATTTACAGGACATCAACAGAATGCCATTAACAAATGAATGATATGGATTTATTTACAGTTAGCAGGTAGATTTAATTCCCAGTTTGTTGACCACACCTCCATAGCAACACTGGCACAACAGGTATTTTATCTCCCAAGTTTTGTTTCTCTTGTTAGCCATCACTTTGAATGCTGTTGTAAACCTGGGATGTGCGAGCAGTGCCACACTGTGGCCTGGATCACTTCAGCCTGATTGTGAGTCTCGAGTGCAGCCATCGCTCCATCCTCTGACAGTAAGTTTAATGAAACAATGTAAATCTGTCTCAAACTGGTTCATATCACCAGACACTTGTAATCCAGCGAGGTGGGAGTCTCTCATTCTAACTTGTCGTCAGTGGAGAATAAAACTGCAAAGTGGAATTTATAACGGCCTTTATATTAAATAATATTCAATCTTTAACCTCACCTGACACCTATCATTTCAAAATCTCTGAACTGTTTAATGTACAACGTCACTTTGAGGATTTTGATGGCAGCACAATCCCACATTAA